TGTAGTTACTACGCCACTGATAATGTAGTTACTACACCACTGATAATGTTGTTACTACGCCACTGATAATGTCGTCACTACGCCACTGATAATGTAGTTACTACACCACTGATAATGTAGTTACTACACCACTGATAATGTAGTTACTACACCACTGATAATGTAGTTACTACGCCACTGATAATGTAGTTACTACACCACTGATAATGTAGTTACTACGCCACTGATAATGTAGTTACTACACCACTGATAATGTTGTTACTACGCCACTGATAATGTAGTTACTACGTCACTGATAATGTCGTTACTACGCCACTGATAATGTAGTTACTACACCACTGATAATGTAGTTACTACGCCACTGATAATGTAGTTACTACGCCACTGATAATGTAGTTACTACGCCACTGATAATGTCGTTACTACGCCACTGATAATGTAGTTACTACACCACTGATAATGTAGCTACTACGCCACTGATAATGTAGTTACTACACCACTGATAATGTAGCTACTACGCCACTGATAATGTAGTTACTACAACACTGATAATGTAGTTACTACGCCACTGATAATGTCGTTACTACAACACTGATAATGTAGTTATTACGCCACTGATAATGTCGTTACTACGCCACTGATAATGTAGTTACTACAACACTGATAATGTAGTTACTACGCCACTGATAATGTAGTTACTATGCCACTGATAATGTCGTTACTACGCCACTGATAATGTCATTACTACGCCACTGATAATGTCATTACTATGCCACTGATAATGTAGTTACTACACCGCTGATAATGTCGTTACTACGCCACTGATAATGTAGTTACTACGCCACTGATAATGTTGTTACTACGCCACGTGATAATGTTGTTTTCTACGCCACTGATAATGTAGTTACTAGGCCACTGATAATGTAGTTACTACAACACTGATAATGTAGTTACTACACCACTGATAATGTAGTTACTACACCACTGATAATGTAGTTACTACACCACTGATAATGTAGTTACTACACCACTGATAATGTAGTTACTACAACACTGATAATGTAGTTACTACGCCACTGATAATGTTGTTTTCTACGCCACTGATAATGTAGTTACTACGCCACTGATAATCTAGTTACTACACCATTGATAATGCCGTTACTACACCACTGGTAATGTTGTTACTACGCCACTGGTAATGTAGTTACTACACCACTGATAATGTAGTTACTACACTACTGATAATGTAGTCACTACGCCACTGATAATGCCGCTACTACACCTACCGATAATGTAGTTACTACGCCACTGATAATGTAGTTACTACACCACTGATAATGTTGTTACTACGCCACTGATAATGTCGTCACTACGCCACTGATAATGTCATTACTATGCCACTGATAATGTAGTTACTACACCGCTGATAATGCCGCTACTACACTACCGATAATGTAGTTACTACGCCACTGATAATGCAGTTACTACGCCACTGATAATGTAGTTGCTACACTACTGAACTGATAATGTAGTTACTACGCCACTGATAATGTAGCTACTAACACACTGATAGTACCGCTACTACGCTACTGATAATGCCCGTTACTACGCCACTGATAATGTAGTTACTACGCCATTGATAATGTCGTTCCTACGCCACTGATAATGCCGCTACTACGCCACTGATAATGCCGTTACTAAGCCACTGGTAATTACTATTAGAATTGCTCTTGTAGTTGTTACTAATTGCGCTTGCCTACCCGTGAAAGCCTCACTTTTTGGGTTCCTGCCTGACTTTGGGTCACACCGCTTAGGCGTGGGCACCGCGGTGGCTAGGAGATGTTAACTACCTCGCCTGGTGTACAGGAGGTCATGGATTCGATCCCGGACCCTAACGCCACGGTGGCTATGAGATTCTAACTACCTCGCCTGGTGTACAGGAGGTCGTGGGTTCGATCCCGACCCTGACGCCTGCTGCTGTATATTTGGAGTTTGCGGTGTCTCTCTCTCTCTCTGTGGTCGTGTCAATTTCTCTTCGGGTCCTCTGGTTGTTCCCTCCACATTTAGAATGAACACGCGTTTTGAGTATTTGACTGCTATGCATTTCCACGTGATGATGAGCCACTTCGTTGAGCTATCGTGCCTGGCCAGATCGCTTCCGAAAAATAGATATTTTGCCCAGTGCACCTTACCTGGAAAAAATATAGGAAAGTTTATAGTAATAGGTGTTTACCCTTTCAACTGGTGCAAAAACTGACACCTTTATACAAGGCATCATGTTTGCAATAACCACAACACAAGCAGTCAAAATGCAAACAAAAAAAACAACTCTGATGTACCAGTTGAAAGGGTAAAAACCTATTACTATATTTTGCCACTGGTAAAGGAGATGTCTCATAGCAAAGGAAAGTTTAGTTTAGAATGCATAATTATCCCACGTTCCTGCCCTGCTTGGCCCCAAGCCAAGATTCAAATGTCGTCTTGTGAGGCCCGGGTCCATCACGGTTTGGTTCTGGCTCGGCTCAGCAACGAGCCAGTGGAAAAACCACCCATACCGTGCTGGCTCGGCTCGGGATGTGTGGCTCGTCTTTAAACCGCCTTTGACTTCACGTTGTGTACATACCGGTATATGTGTATATAAAGTATTTAGTATTATTTTGATTAATTATTGATTGTAAACCAGCACGGTACCAAAATGCAGAACCTCTGTCATGCAGAGAATGAGTTACATTGACACCGTCGCGTTCGCTTGTCCGTAATATTTTGAGAACCGAACTTTGTTTTCCGCGGGGTCTAACTTGGTTACTTGGTTACACGGGAGAAGACTGGCACCGCGGGAGAGGTTGGGGTGGGATTCTCCATACTTATGACGATGTTACTGTTAAATCTTTTAAGTGGAAATCTGTGCATATAGCGGTGACGTCCCTTTGGTAACTATGGTGTCTTTGTGATGGTAACAGTGGTGATTGGTGGTGGTGGTGGTGGTGTTGATTACGACAGCAGTAATGATGATAATAACGATGTTGTTGATGTTGATGATGATTTAAAATCCATTCAGCCGCAAAGGTGAAGGCTAAAGGCGCAACCCCTGCAACGGCCTGCTAACGAGCGCGCTTTTGTCCCACTCTCTCACCTCTCGGAAGAGACTGGCGTAGCCCCCACACCTTACCGCACCCCGGGTCACTTGCCGATTGAGTCGCCCTCTGTGAAACCGTTTCCGCTGCCGGGTAGACCACGGATGGGCGCATGGAGGGAGGGGGTGAGTGGACTGTCCGGTCGATGCCGGTGCAACGTTGATCCGACCCCATGCCAACGTTGATCCGACCCCATGCCAACGTTGGTCCGACCCCATGCCAACGTTGGTCCGACCCCATACCAACGTTGGTCCGACCCCATGCCAACGTTGATCCGACCCCATACCAACGTTGGTCCGACCCCATGCCAACGTTGATCCGACCCCATACCAACGTTGATCCGACCCCATGCCAACGTTGGTCCGACCCCATGCCAACGTTGGTCCGACCCCATGCCAACGTTGGTCCGACCCCATGCCAACGTTGATCCGACCCCATGCCAACGTTGGTCCGACCCCATGCCAACGTTGATCCGACCCCATGCCAACGTTGATCCGACCCCATACCAACGTTGGTCCGACCCCATGCCAACGTTGATCCGACCCCATACCAACGTTGGTCCGACCCCATACCAACGTTGGTCCGACCCCATACCAACGTTGGTCCGACCCCATACCAACGTTGGTCCGACCCCATGCCAACGTTGGTCCGACCCCATACCAACGTTGGTCCGACCCCATGCCAACGTTGGTCCGACCACATACCAACGTTGATCCGACCACATACCAACGTTGATCCGACCCCATGCCAACGATGATGCGACCACATACCAATATTGGCCCCACGTTGGCTACGACTGGATTGGCCATCGAATTCGTATTCCCGCGACGTTTTAATCCACCACCTCCCCCCCCCCCCCTCCACGGCCGCCCAGGCGTCGTGGGCGGGTCGAGGGCGGTTCCGGGCGATCATGGGCGGTTCCGGGTGGTTCCGGGCGGTCGCTGGCAGTCGAGGGCGGTTCCGGGCGGATCGCAGGTGGTCCAAGGCAGTTGCAGGCGGGTTGTGTGGGTGGTGTGGGTGGTGGTGGTGGTGGTGTGTGTGACGTCACCAGTAATGGCCGCTCGCGGCTAACACATGGTGACGATTTTCTGAATCGGTCCTGGGCCCTCCCCTGGGTCAACTCAGCCTCAAATGAGTACCTGGTGAGGTGTGTAGTAAACATCGCCACTGGGGAGGACAAAGGCGACCGGGCGTGGTGCTGGCCACCCAGCCCCTCATGTGCCGTGCCGGTCTTCATAGTTGCTCGCTAACAGCACTTGCCCCTACAGTCTGTTAAGGCTATATCTTTGCCTTTGTGTGTTGGAGGCAGTCGCCCTCGAATAACAACGGAGGGCAGAGGAGCGACGCTTACAACAACGAGAGCGGAGCGCCGGGCGGCTAAAATACATCAAGTTGGCACAGTGGGGGGTACAGCTGGTGGTGCATCTACCGGTCATCTCAGTCAGCCTTATCCGTGGCACCTGCTGGGTCTGTCCCGTGACCTCCTATCAGCAGCAAGTCTTCACACTTCACGTGGCCCTCAAAGTGCACCTGGCCTGGCACGGGTGCCATGGTGACGTCACGGCGAGTTAGTGGCCGAATGGCGGGTGTTGTTGTTGTTGTTTTTGTAGCTGTTGTGACCCTGTTGATATGCCTCGGCGGTATGTATTCTGTTCGATAAGTTCGTGGTGGTGGCGGTGGTGGTGGTGGTGGTGATAGTTTGTGACGTCAGGCTGTGTTCGAAGCTCCGCACGGAGCGGTGGTCGACGGTGACGATGACGACGGCGATGACGACAGCGATGACGACGGTGATGACGTCACAACGGGCTTGGGTTCCTCTTCCGCGCCAAAGCGTTCGGGAGCGCGGTCCTCACCTCCCGTTTACAGCCCCCTGAAGCCGGTGGTGGCGACTCCACGTTCCTATGCCAGGGCCAAGTATTTCGAGAGGAAAAGCAGCGACGACGATGATTGTGACGATGATGCAAGTGACTTGCGGTGACGTTGTTGATTGTAGATTACAACGTGGCCTGTGTGTGTAGATATATATATGCAGGGTGCTTCAACGCAAGTGCGAACACTTCTTAGAATTTGCAACACCTCTACGAGAAATGTGTCTCCGTGGCTCTGGAGACTACCTGGATAAGAGTCCAGGCACGGCGTTGAAAACGATTGGTACCATTTGAGTGTTCACATTTTTGTTGCTTGTTGAAGCACCGCTTGTGTACGCGAGCGTTTGCGTGTCCGCGCTGACCGATTTAACCGCACTCCGTCGCCCGGGGCGTGATGCTGGCGCGCCCGCTGACCTTCAGGGGGTCCGCGCGTCCGCCCGTTCGCGCACGCGCGCCGGCGCGTTCGTTCTCCGTCTCGCGTGAAATATTCGCCGAGCGAAATGGCAAAATTGGTAGGGACGAAGATCTCCCCCACCCTCATAGGTTCTTTCGGTAAAGTCACGTAGAAGGGAATAATAAAATAATAAAATCAAACATAATAAAATACAATTCTCACGACGTTTCGGCCGCAACGCAAGCAGCCGTCCTCGGGTGAAGAACAGGTCTGTCGGAAAGACAGCGTCTGTCGGAAAGACAGACCTGTTCTTCACCTGATAGCCGTAGCCAAACACTCGAAACGGGCGTTTCTAAATGTGGAGGGAAAAACCGGAGGACCCGGAGAAAATGCACGCGACCACAGGGAGAGAGAGAGAGAGAAACACGCAAACTCCAAATATACAGCAGCATGCGTCAGGATCGGGATCGAACCCACGACCTCCTGCACACCAGGCGAGGTAGTTAACATCTCCTAGCCACCGTGATGATGATGATTAGAGAGAGAGACACGCAAACTCCAAATATGCAGCAGCAGGCGTCAGGGTCGGGATCGAACCCACGACCTCCTGCACACCAGGCGAGGTAGTTAACATCTCCTAGCCACCGTGATGATGATGATTAGAGAGGAGACACGCAAACTCCAAATATGCAGCAGCAGGCGTCAGGGTCGGGATCGAACCCACGACCTCCTGTACACCAGGCGAGGTAGTTAACATCTCCTAGCCACCGTGATGATGATGATGAGAGAGAGAGACACGCAAACTCCAAATATGCAGCAGCAGGCGTCAGGGTCGGGATCGAACCCACGACCTCCTGCACACCAGGCGAGGTAGTTAACATCTCCTAGCCACCGCTGTGCCCAGCAGCAGCTATAGCAGCGCCAACACCAAATCTACTCAATCATTAATGATCAATTGTTAATATTATTGTTGTTGTTGTTGTTTTAACGATGCGGCACAACCGTAAATAAAACTCACACACACACCGGAGAATATTTTTTTGTTTATTTTCGAATTTTTTTACGTTTTTTTGTTTGCTGTTGTTGTTGTTTATCGGCCCGTTAACTTTGTTCGCGTGTTTGTAGTTTTGTATACGAACCTCAGACGATGAACGTAAGACGACAACAATAATCGCGTCGACGACCTTGGCTGATGACGACGGAGCTGTGACGACACAGGACCACGTGTTGGGGGCGTCTGTGACGTAGGCGCGCGGCTCGGTGTTGTTGTGCTTGTCGCTCCGCCTCGACGGGGGAGGGGCGAGGGGGGAGCCACGTGCTCCGTGCGTGTTCATGGCGTCACGTTCAGAAGACACTGATGTTGTAATAAACATTGTTGACATAATGACGCCGCCGGTGAGTTCTCTTCCATTTATTTTTTATTCGTCGTCGTCATCGTTGTCATCGTCACCGTCGTTATCGTCGTCGCCGTCGTCATGATCGTCATCATCGTCGTCATCGTCACCGTCGTTATCGTCGTCGTCATCGTCGTGGTCATTATCGTCATCATCGTCATCATCGCCATTGTTATCATCGTCATAATTGTCATCACCATCATCATTGTCATCATCATCGTCGTCATTGTCATCATCGTTATTATCGTCATCATCATCATCATCATTGTCATCAACCCTAACCCTAAACACCCGGTCGTTCGTAAAAGTCGAAGGCGGTATAGTACTATAGTAATAGAGCAAGTGCAGAATCACTGAACCGGAAATGAAAGCTCGAAAGCATTTAGCCCGGGAGCCCTTGAAAGTGTAGTAGCTACTACACGTGTAGTAGTTACGTAGTAGTAGCTACTACATATGTAGTCGCTACTACACGTGTAGTAGCTACTACGCAGTAGTAGTTACGTAATAGTAGCTACTACACTGTAACAGACGGTTGGGGCATGTGGTGTGAGTCTATGCCGCTCAACTGATTCGGAGTGAGACCTCTGCTGTTAGACTGGAGCCGGTCAAAGCACACTGCCCAGGTATGGGAAACTCTCCACTCTCTCCACAACTGCCCCATCACCAATTGGGAGTTGTGGGGGTGGAGTGTCCGATGGTACAAAATACCCAGGCAGGTGCTTGGTTTTGGTGGGGCTGATGGTAAGGCCCCACCTCTTAGTGGCACGCTCCAGTCTCAGCAGCAGCGCGTCTCCAACTCCTCTTCTGAATGAGCAGCTATTACCAAATCATCGGCATACATAACGTGGTTGACCAATAGGGAGCCATCCCTTGATCGCACCCGGGCGTCGATCAGCCTCCCATTATATCTGTACCAAATGGAAATTCCCCCGGTACAGCTATTGAAGGCTTCACGAACTACGCGGTCAAAATAGATGTTAAATAATGTGGGAGCCAGAGGACATCCCTGTCGCACCCCAAGGTGTACAGGGAAAGGCTCCGACTCCCGGCCACGTAGTTTTACCCGGGCCCGCTCACCATCATGAAGGTCCTTAATGATCGTGAGCAGAGGGTCAGGGACTCCGAAAGCACGAAGAACAACCCAGAGCCCAGTCCTACTGATGGTATCATAGGCCTTGACCAGGTCAATAAAGCAGAGATGTAGGTCTTTTTGGAATTCCCTACACCTCTGCTGTAGCAGACGGACAGAAAATATGGCATCTGTGCAGGACCGCCCTTTCCTGAAACCGCATTGGGGCTCCGCAAGCCTCTCCTCAGCGTGCCTAGCAAGGCGATGTTGAATAATCCTTGCCAGGACCTTACCCGGCACACTGAGGAGTGAGATGCCCCTGTAGTTGTTACAGTCTGTGCGGTCCCCCTTCTTAAAGAGGGGGACCACCAGGGCATCCTTCCAGTCCTGCGGAACCCGTCCAGTGGTCCAGACTGTTGTTATGATGTCATATAGGGCAGTCTGTGCACAAACGCCACCCTCCCTCAGCATTTCGCTTGGGAGATCATCTCTGCCCGGTGCCTTCCCTGGTCTCAGACTCCGGATCGCCCTCAGTACTTCCTCAACAGCTGGCACCTCAGCCAGCCACTCACAGGGGGTGACCTCTTCCAATATTTGAGGCACCGCAGCCTCAGCAGGGTTATCCCCACTTTGTGCCATGATGTTTTCCTGGCTGAGAGAATTTCCCTCCCCCAGGACCTCACAGAAATGCTCAGCAAATCTGCAAACCTGTTCCTGGGGGTCGGAGATTGGATCACCGTTTTTTCCTCTAATGATGGTAATAGGTGTGGCGCTGCAGGTTACTTTTTTGATGGAGTTAAATAGTGATTTGTGATCACGGGCCACTGAGGCAGACTCCATCTCCTCAGCAACCCGCGACCACCACCCATCCTTACAGCGCCTTACGGCTCTCCGAACTTCCGAGCGAAGGCTGCGGTAAACCTCCTCATTCTCTGACGTGGGATGCTGTAGGCGATGAGAGTGGGCCTGTCGCTTTTTCTCAATTAACCTGAACACCTCCTCTGTCAGCCAGGGTTTCTGGGGAGGTCTGGACCGCGTACCCAAAGCAGCCATTGCAGCTGCATGAGTCACAGTCTTAAACCTCGCCCATTTACCCTCGACATCAGGTGGAGTGGGGGACGATGCCAACCCCAGCTGCAAGCGATGATGAAATTCTCGCTTGCAACTTTCATCAGCTAACTGAGACCAGGCCACTTTTGGTTGGAATGGGATCCTGGGTGTACACCCACCACCGGAGTGGAAGAAAGGCAGGCGCATCTTACAGATGACTAGTCGATGGTCAGAGGACAGATCAGCTCCACGGTAGGTCCTGGTGTCAAGGACATGGGCTCGCATCCGCTGGTCCGTCACTATGTAGTCCAGCAGATGTTCTTGCTTGGACCCGGCATGCATCCATGATGTGTGGATGCGCCGATGCCGGAAGAGCGTGTTGGTAATTACAAGCCCATGGGCTGCACAAAAATCTAGCAGCCTCCTACCGTTATTATTGAGCTGATCTGGCCCATGCCTTCCAATCACTCCAGACCAGGTGCCAGCATCATGACCAACTCGGGCATTGAAGTCACCCAACAAGATGACTCTGTCCCGAGTGGCCACTTTAGCCAGCACCTGTGACAGGAGGTCATAGAAAGCGTCTGACTCATCGGCTTTGCTGCATCCCTCCACGGATGTTCGTCTTCGGTGGGGGCATAAGTAACCACGACCACCACTCCTCGCCTCTGGTTGATGGGAAGGC